AGACAACACCAAGAGGACACAGTATGCCCTAACACACTGGCCACACTGCCCTACATCAAGAAAGAAAAACAACACGACGAACTTTCCCAAATATCAGTACACTTGGACAACGAAGGCCACCAGTTTAACTGGGACAATGTGAACCATGGTAACCCAAGCCAAACACAGACATGCACGGGAATTCCTAGAGGCATGATTCTCAACCTATAATGCAATCAACAAACGTATAGAATTGGATCCCATATACAAATTCATACAGAACAGAACCGGAAAGGACAACCCACCATAACAGACTGGACAGTATAAATTCCAAGTGGAGTAGAACAACATCGCTTCATCGGAGGCCTCAATGATGTTACCTAGCATGGTGACAAAACGTCTGAAGAAAAACAAGCCAGCTCGGCGACCAAGTCAACAACTCCATCCACAATCCGAGCTACAAATCTTTGCCAAAACCTTAAACGCTTAAGGCCCTTTGAAGTTCCACGCTTCCCAGCCTCCCCAATCCTGTCTGCTCTAAACCTGTGTGGGACCTTATCAAGAAGCCATCCTAAAATTCTAACGTAAAACACATCCCTGTGATTTTGCCAACACCAGCGACACCCCATCCCCTATCTAGTCTGCTTGTTACATGCTCAAGAACTCCAACAGGTTTGTCAAACATTCTTTATCTTTTGTAAACCTGTACCCAATGTTGCAAAGATTCCATATTACCTGTCCCTCATGGAGATATTTGGGGTCAAAGGGGTTTTCCCTTACAAGTTCATTAGGCAGTGGTCAGCACGTAGTGTCCTTGACACCCTGCAGAAAAAGGCGAGGACTGATTCTGTTGGGCGTTTCCCTGAGCAGACTACCAACGTCATCTGAACGAATGCTTCATGGTCAAAACTTTCTAACAAGCATTAAGATGGCGCTTGGCTTGTGGCAACAAGGGCACCACCTGTGAAATCCTTCACATATGCCCAGCCTCTCTCCACCACCACACACTGCCCTTAAAGTGGCTGCTCTGGCAAAGAGACTATCACACATCTCCTCCTGGAATATGCCTTTGCGAAGGTCTGGAAAGAGATCCAGTAGCTTTTGTCAAGGTTTGCCTTGAGCTGCTCCGTGACGCAGGACTTTGTGTTCTATGGTCTGTTCCCCAGGATGCACACTGAGACAAACAGCAACTGCATCTGGAAGACCATCAACTTGGTGTGCCTGAAACATGTTGGTCTTTCGGTGCAAAGAGTTGACCTTGATCCGGTGTTGTAGACTAGTAATATCTAAAGGTCTAGGAGTACGTGCAGAGGGATACATTAAAGCTTGGGGCAGTTGCTGCCAAGGCACAGTGAAGAAATATCACCGTTTAAGGTCTTTCTGCCAAATCTTTGGGGTTTCATTCACTGTTCAGACCTCTCGATGCCTCAAATGTGTATATATATTGTTCTGTATAAGTATGAAATGCCTCAGGTATTTCACAGGGAAAACCAAATTCCAATTTTTTGTTTGCTCTTCATATGCAAAGACTGTATATAAGTGATTCAGTAATGGTGTATGTACATAAAGATTTTGTATGAATAAAATATATTTTTGCAATAAAAAAAATCTCAGCTTCAAAACAACCCAATGAGTTCCTTGTAGTGTCCTGGATTCCACTACCATCATCAGCTGCTTCATTAAGATAAGGCTGAAGCAATTGCAACAACCTTCAGCCAAAACTGCAAAGTGGATAATCCATCTCAGCCTCCTCCAGTGGTCCCCAGCTTCATAGATGCCAGTCTTCAGTCAATCTGATTCACTCCAGGTGATATTAAGAATCTGCAGTAAGCATTATATACTATTGCTGTCCTATCCTCTATTCTCAATTATCATTTAAGTGGTGGTAGTTGGTATCAACAGTACCATCCAACAACTAGTATTTAACAATAACCTGCACGCTGTTGCTCAGTTTGAGTTTGAGGGCCACTCAGCTCCTGACCTCATTACAAACTCTGTTCAAACATGAGCTATGAAAAATGAGCTAATTCCAGAGGTGAGCGGAGAGTGATTGGCCTTGACATCAAGGCCACATTTCATAGAGTAAGACATCAAACAGTCTAAGCAAAACTGGAGTCAATGGAAATCAAGGAAAACACTCTGCTGGTTGAAGTCACACCAACAGAAATGAAGATGAATGTGGCTGCTGGAGGCCAGTTGTTCAAGACATCTCTGCGGGGCTCCTCAGTAAACAGTTTCTGAATCAACCTGTTCAGAAATGTTAGGACAAATCTCTGGAGCAGATAAGACTTGAACCTAGGCCTCCTGGACCAGAGGTACAGACAAAACTTCCACCACGCCACGAGAGACCTCAAGTTTCTCAGGGTGGTGTCCTATGTCCAACCATCTTCAGTTGCTTCAGCAATGACCTTCCTCCATCATTAAGTCACAGGTGGGAACATTCACTGTTGACTGCACATGGCTTCAAAGAACTGAAGTAGTCCATGTCCAAATGCAGCAAAACCTTGACAATATCCAGGTTTGATATAATAAGATGCATGTAACAATCATGACACATAAGTAATAGGTGATGACAGCAGAAAATCTAACCGTTGACTCTTAACATTCAATGGCAATGCCATCACTGAAAGCCTCAGTACCAACAGCTTCAGCATTACCATTGACCAGAAAGTGCACTGGATGAACCGAATAAATACAGTGACTACAAGAGCAGTTCAGAGACTATGAATCCTGTTGTGAGCATCTCATCTCTCCAAAGTTTGTCTACCATTTACAAGGCACAAGTCAGGAGTATGATGGAATACTTCCCACTTGCCTGGATGAATCCAGCTCCAACAACATTCAAGGAGCTTGACACCATCCAGGACAAAGAAGCTGGCTTGATTGGGATCATTTACAAGCTTCACACCATGCCATTCACCATCCTGACTTGGAAATATGTCGCCATTCCTTCACTGTTGTTGGGTCAAAATCTTGGAACGCTCTACCTAATGGAATTGTAGATCTACCTACAGCAAGGCAATTCACTGCCAACTTCAAAGGCAATTAAGGATGGGCAACAAATGCTGGCCCAGCCAGTGACACACATTCCATGAAAGAATTAAAAAAAGTAACCTTCCCTCTAACACAACAGGTCAGAAATGGGGATGTGCATGGATTATTGCACACAGTGTTGAATGATATTTGCAATACCTCAGATACTGAGGCAGTCAGTGCCCATGTGAAATGAATTATCAGCTTAAGGTTGATTGTTTAAGGGATAGGATAAATTTATGGAGGACAGCCATAAAAACATTGGAATTGTTAAGTCTTGAGATTAAAAAAAAGGTAGGACAAGAGGATTTTGGCAGCAAACCAGCTTAGGCAAAGACAGACTTTGGTCATTTTAAGTGTTCAGCTTGGTACTTCAGATGTGTGGGCAGAAGCAGATCAGAGGTAAACAGCTGTTTCAGCTTCAGATAGTCACGGAGGAGAGGGATTGATTTGGTGACCAGAAATTGACTTGCTGACAGGGACTGAAAAAGAAACGTTGACTCGCTTAAAACTGCATGCTGGACAAGAAGATTGAGGGTTCAAGGATGGTAGTGGTGAAGTAGAATTTAGCCGTAGAATTGAGTCAATTTCTATCCTCACTGACCACATTCACGCACAGATACAGAAAAGTCAGAGGAGTATACCACTTCAAATCACAAGCTTGCTCCACCATTTTAGTATGATCATGGCTGATCAACCCACTCAGTATCCCATTCTCACATTTCCCCGGAACCATTTTAGCCCTAAGAACTCCTCCTTGGAAAGTATTCAATGTTTTGGCCTCAAATGCTCTCTGTGACAGAGAATTCCACAGGCTCACCATTCTATGGGTGAAGATATTTCTCCTCATCTCAATCATGAATGGCACATCCGTGATCCCTGGTTCTGTTCATCGAGAACATCCTTCCTACGTTTGCACTGTCCAGTCCTGTTAGAATTTTATAGATTTTTATGCAATCCCCTCACCCTCATTCTTCTAAAGAAGAAGGAATGTAGTCCTAAGTGACCCGGTCTCTCCTTATACATCAGTCTCACCTTCCCATGAATCATTGCACTCTCTCCATAGTCAGAACATTCTTCCTCGGATAGAGATCAAAACTGCACATAATATTCCATGGTATCACTAATGTCCTGCAAAATATCCCTGATCCTCTAATTGAATCCTCTCGCTATTCAGGCCAATACACCATTTTACTTCTTCACCTGCATGCTTATTTTCAGCAACTGTTGTACAAATACACCCAAGCCTCATTGCCCTCCCGCTTTTGCCAACTCGTCAAAATAATGTCTTTTTGTTTTGACTACCAAAGCGGATAACCTTGCATTTATCCACCTTGTACTTCATCTACCATGCAGATGTCCACTCACTCAACTTACCCAAATCTCTACACCGTCCTCATAGCTCACTCTCCCATCTCGCTTTGTATCCTCAGCAACATAAAGATAGTACATTTAGTTTCCTCATCTAAATCATTGATATATATAGAATAGCTAGGCCCAAGTCCCGATCCCTGCAGCAGCCACTAGTCACTACTTGCCACTTGAAAAAAAGACCCATTTATTCAATCTCTTTTTCCTGTCTGTCAACCAGTTCTCTATCCATGGCAGTACACTACCCCTATCCCAAGTACTTTAATTTTACACGCTAATCACTTGTGGGACCTTAGCAGGGGTCACTGAATTACAACCAGCAGAATTTTCTCAAATACATCAATCAGTCTCAACTTCAAAAACATTACATAACTCGTATCAGCTAATGTAACACATAATGAAGATATCTGCAACCATCCTGGGCTAAATGGCTTGGGTGTTTATTGAAAGAAGTTCCATCATTTAGAAATGCAGCAAGATTTTGTGTTAACTGGCAGATAGAACTTAAGGACTTGAAAGCCTTGTATTTAAAAATCCTTCTGATGTTTGAAAGATTTGGGACAAGTATGTTCATGCAAATTCTAGACATTTTGTCAATATTTCTTGAGATGACTCACCTCTGAGTCATTCAAAAGCTCTTTACTAAGTTCTCCATTTCTTGCATCAGTTGCTTGTTCAGTAGAATTTGGCTGCCACTTGATCTTTTGTTCAGCAATGATTGGCCTTGCTATACCAGAGTATTTGGGGGAATCTACTATTCCAAATACCTATTGTAAGAATAAGTAAAATTTATTAGAAGCATAAACTGCACAAACAAAACCAACAAATAAGGGCTGAGAAGCTGTTCCTTGTTCCAAGTAGTTTGTCATACAAAAAATAAATTAAGTTAGCACTGTAATATATACTACTAAAATCACACCAATGCAAGATTAGATAGGATAGTTTTTTGTTCATTTTTATATACATGTATACTTTAACGGAATAAAATAGAGACAGTTGAATATGACATGGAATCGAACAGTTTTCCATCATTAAAATTTAGTTTTTCACAACACTTGAATAATCATCTAATTTCTTGTTACCACATTTTCCAAACAACAGCAAGATGACTGGACACACTCCTATTTTACGGAAAAAAGGAGGCCACTTCCATCAGAGAGCCAAATCCTTTGCCCTGATAATTCTCAGCCCTAAACACGCGGTGACCAGTCTGATGGACGCAGCTGCCAGCCTGAGCCATTTAGCACCGAAGCAGAAACAAATTCTCATCTCAAAAACAAGGACATCACCCATCATACATTTTGGCACTTTCATCATGCTAAATAAGACTGGAAACAGACAGCTAGTGAGCCAAAACTGGCCATTGATAGTAAACACCAGAATTATACAGTGCAGTCTATAAACTGATGGGCCAGCAAATTCCCCATTTGTCCATTACTAGGTTGAAGCAGTCACACAGACTTACTGTTAGTGGACTAGTAATTCAGATTCCCAGGCTGGGTTTTTTGGAGATATGGGTTCCAATCCGCGGCAGATCCCCTATAGAGATGGAAATCTGTTGCCTTAACTCAGTCTTGTCCCTAAGTGATGCAAGATCCATCGCTAATTCCTAACTGCCCTTTAAAAAGGACAGTCAGCAAGGTACCCAACTGTATCCATAAGCTCAATTAGGCCTTTTGGTGCATTGAATCTGCTCCACCATTTGACCATGGCTGATATGTTTCTCAACCGCATTCTCCCTATAACTTTTGATCCTCTTACTATTCAAGAGCGTCTCAGTCTTACATACACTCAATGACTTGGCCTCCACTTGGTGGCAAACTGCTATAAAGTCTAAAACAAAGGAAGGAAACCAGGTGGATGACCCAACATCAGTCTTACCACTAGAAACTGCAATTGTCAACCCAGCCTGTTGACTCTGTAAACTCCCACTTATTAACATGCAACAGTGGTACCACAGACTAGTTTAGCAACAACCTGACACCCTCGTTCTCCAGGAACCATTCCTTATAATTGCCCAAACAGCATCATAATCCCTGGGAGTACCCTGTCCCACCAGACCACCAGAGGTGGAGACAATGCTCAACAGTCATGAGGAAGTTGACCTGGGAGTCTCCAACAGCTACTCCACACCAGAAAAGAGGGGCTTTCAGCAAGCACAAAGGGACCAAATCATTGGAGCACCTACTGATGCACGAAATGCAGGGAGGTACTTCACTGAGTCAAGATGGTTGCAGAATACGGCTATTCTGATCCACCTGCTTTTCTTTTTTCTCTTTATGTTTTGTTTTCAAACTTTACTTACATACACATGTCCCTTTACTCACCATTGATAGCAACAAGCTGGCCTTGTGCAGGCCTAGGGGTGGCAGTGAGCAGACCCCACCCAAACTTGGGGCGGCAAGTGAGCCCCTACTTTTCAGGGTGAGCACGGGATCTGGCATCAAAGATCGGCCGTGACGTCAGTGGTATGCCCAGTGAAAGATCGTGCCTGAGTACCGGCGTCTTAGTTGTTGGTTGGGTCTGGCACTGGTGGCGGCGAAGGTGTGGCAGAAGGGCATCACAATGACAGAGATGAGGTCAGCCCAGCAGCAAGAGGCGACTGCTGTTGGTGGGTCAGGTGCAGATGGCGACGAGACAGAGGAGCGGGGGTGGGGGGTGGGGAGAGGCGTGAGGAGGTGGATGGTGGCACAGGTTATCATTGATGTGCAGGCTCAGGAGTGACGGACTCTAAGCTATTTTGCTTTTCTTAGAACTATTCAAAATGGTGCCAGATTGTGGCAACATTGGAAATACGTTTCACTGTATTTTACTGTTTTTCTCACTGTAAAATGTATGTGACAATAAAATCATTCACTAAGAAAGCAATTAGGAGAGCAAACAGGAGGCACGTGAAAACAGGTAGGTAATATTATGTAGAATCCCAAGCTATTCTGTAAGTTGCTGTCAGCAATTACTCACTAATGACTATGATTGTCCACCGAGAAAATTCCATGTCACCAGTTGTGGGTCCTTGCATGGCTGATGAACCCAATCCTAGAGTTGGCAATACATTTAGCAGATACTTCTGGAAGGTGAAACTGGACCTTGACCTTAAAATAACTGGTATTCCTTTCTCTGGTTCCTTTTCTGTACTTCCTCTTGCCAACAGCTATTCTCAAAGAATTGTGTCCAATCAAACAGGAGTTTCTTCTAAGTTGGTTTCTTCTGAACAAGGGTCTCCCACTCATTGACATTCATGTTGTACTTCTTGAGGGAAACCTGCTAAGCGTATTTGAAACCCTTCCTTTGTCCTCCTTCTCTTGTTAAAGTACCTTCCTTGAGCTGGGTGAAAAAGATTTGCTTTGGTAACTGGAACTGAGGCTTTCCAAATATGTGGGCAGCCCAGGGGCTCTGACCAATTTTTAATTCCCCTGGTTGAGTCAGTTGAGTCCAAAAGAACACAGTTGTCAGAGTGAGTATGCGGCAAATGATGAGAGAACCAGAAGGGGAAATCTTATTTGACCTCATCCTCACTATTCTACTTGCTGCAAATACATCCATTAATTGGTGGGAGTGACCACCGTGCAGTCCTTGGAGACAAAAGTCTGTTTTACAATGAGGCTTATGCAGCATCACTGCTAAATGGCACAAACAATAGATCTAGCAACTGAGAGATGCTGTGGGCCATCAGGAGTAGTAAAATTGGATTCAATCACAAGCTATAACCTTATGGCCTGACGCATTTCCTACTTTATACTACCATCAACCCAGAGATCAACCTTGATTCAAAAAATGAGTGAGTACAGAAGCTACTTCCAAGAGCAGCAACAGGAATACCTAAAAATGAGATATCAACCTAGTGACGCTACAAAACAAGATTACTGAGTGCCAAACAGCAAGTAATGGATTGTGTGATCATTTTGCTCTACCAACAGATCATATCAAAGCCGTGCAGTCCTGCCACATCCAGTTGTGAATGGCAGTGAACAATTAATCAACTAACAGGAGGATGTGTTTTCATAAATATCCCCAATCTCAATGATGGGGAACCAACACATCAGTATAAAAGTCAAAAGTAAAGCACTTGCATCTATCTTCAGCCAGAACTACAGAGTGAATGGTGCATCTTGACCTCCTCCTGAGGTCTCCTGCATCATAACTGCCAGTGCTCAACTAAAACGATTCACTCCACATGATATTAAGGAACCACTGGATACTGGTAAGGCTGTGAGCCCTGACAGCATTCCAGCAATGGTACTGAAGACTCTGCCTCCAGAACTTGCTATGCCCCTAACCAAGCCATTCCTGTATAGCTACAGTACTAGCATCTACATGAGTGTAGAAAATAGCCCAGGTATATCTTGTACACTAGAAGTTAAGTTAATCTAACCAGGCCAATTACTAAACTCAATCTATTCTTGAACACTAATAAAGTAATGAAGAGTGTCATTGCAATCAAGCAGTAATTGCTTGAAAACATCTATTCAATGACGCTCAGTTTGGGCTCATCAGTTCCTGACCTCATTACATTTTTGGTACAATTTGGAGTACTGGAGCTGAACTCTAGGAGTTGGAGTTGGGGGGTGGGGGAGGTGGGGAGGTGGTTGCGTGGTAGGTAGCAGTGACTCTTCAGTGCTTGGAGTCAAACCTCTGACAAAAGATGTTTGCTGCTGTTGTTGAAATCACCTCAGTCCATGAACAATCCTTTGGGTGTTCCTCAGGGCATTCAACAGTAGATCAAAGATTAGGAATTGTGCAACAAGTAACTCACTTCTGGTCTCCTAAAAGCCTGTCCACTATCTAGAAGGCAAAGGTCAGGACTGTCATGGAATATTCTCCCACTTGCTTGGATAGGTACAGCTCAAGATAAAGCAACTTACTTGACTGGCACTCCATCTACTACCTTCAACATTGACTCTCTTCATCACCGAGGTACAGTGGAAGCAATAGGCTCCATCTACAAGATGCAGTGCAGTAACTAACCCAAGCTTCTTTGACAGCATCCTCCAAACCTGCAACATTTGCAGAAGGGCAAAGGCAACAGTTGTATGGGAACACCATTACCTGCAAGTTGCCCTCCAAGCTGCATGCCATCCTAACTTCTGTAGCCAAGTGGTCAACGGCCTAAACTACTAGGCCCAGCATACAATTGGCTAAACATTTCTGCAAGCAAGGGCTGATGGAATGCAAAGAGGTTAAAAAGTTAACACAGATCAAAGGTAAACAAGGACCAGCCCAAATCTATCTTGCAAATTGTACAGGAGTGTTCAAACCTCATTAAGTGGTACTCAGCCAGAACAATAGGGGGAGACTTTAGGTTTGTGTATTCCCCATGTTCAGCTAGATCCCTTGGCACAATGGAATAATCACATCTTGGAAAGAGGATCGATACACTTAGGATGACCTGGTCTAAAAACTTACTGGGCGCAGTAATCCGCTGTCCTGTGACTCCACTGGCTGAAGTCACAGAACATTCCAGAAGGGCTTAGAAAGGAGGGATAAGAAAGGACACCTGGTGGCCATTCCCTCAGTGATGACTCAGCTAGCAAAGACTCCGTGCAAGACCCACCTTTGTACTAAGAGAGCCTCAGAAGCCCTGTCAATGGAGCTCAGTGAACTGTATCCAGCAGCCCAATCAGGTTTACTAGAGCAGGAGATAGCGTGTGTGTTTTTCAGGCAGTCAGCTTACACTGGGGAAAGTTTACTTAAGTTTTCTAGGAGTTGCTTTTTTCAACTTGCGAGCATTTTAATATAACTAAGTTTGAACCAGTTCTTTGTTTGTCTA